AGCTTTCTTGATCAGGCTGGTGGTGTTGTTGCTCCAGCTGAGGTTGTCATTCATGTGTACACCCAAGTACTTGTAGCTGGAGACCACTTCCACCGCAGATCCTCTTATGTTCAAGGGGGTGTAGGTGTTTTTGTTCCTTCTGAAGTCCACAATCATCTCCTTTGTCTTCTTCACATTGATGTGAAGGTTATTCTCTCTGCACCAGCTCTCCAGGTGTTCCACCTCTTGCCTGTAGCTGGACTCATCGTTGTTTGTGATGCATCCCACCACCGCTGTATCATCTGCAAACTTTACAATGTGACAGCCTGGATGGGTAGCTGCACAATCATATGTGAGCAGAGTAAACAGAAGGGGGCTCAACACACATCCCTGAGGAGAGCCAGTGCTGAGGGTTATGGTGGAGGAGGAGAGGTTGTGGATCCTCACTAACTGTGGTCTGTTTGTTAAAAAGTCTAGTACCCAGTTGCAGATGGAGGGGCTTAGTCCTAGTGTGGATAGTTTTTCCATCAGGGTTTGGGGGATCATGGTGTTGAAGGCGGATGTGAAGTCCACAAAGAGCATACGGACGTAAGAGTTTTTCTGCTCCAGGTGGTTGAGTGCAGTGTGGACCACAGAGGAGATTGCATCCTCTGTTGATCGGTTCTCACGGTATGCGTACTGATGAGGGTCCTCGTTGATGTTGATGGTTGTTTTGATGTGAGTCATGACCAGTTTTTCGAAGCATTTAGCGACTATCGGGGTGAGGGCCACTGGCCGATAGTCATTCAGACCAGTCACTGTAGAGCTTTTTGGGACTGGGATGATGGTGGCAGTCTTCAGGCAGGTGGGAGCTGTCTCCAGGGTAAGTGAGGTGTTAAAGATGTCTGCCAGCACCTCACAGAGCTGATCAGCACATTCCTTCAACACTTTTCCGGGGATGTTGTCTGGGCCAGTTGCTTTGTGCGGATTAATCCTCCTGAAGGTACTCCTTACTTCTGCTGAGGTCACGCTGAGATGCTCTTCATCCGGTGGTGAGGTGAGTCTGGTGCTGGGTGGTCTGTTCGGGTCTTCAAAGCGTGCATAGAACTTGTTGAGGGCATCAGGCAGAGATGGGTCTTTGGGGCATTGTTCACTCCTTCCTTTATAATCTGTTATGCACTTAATGCCCCTCCACATGCTCCGAGGGTCTTGTGAGATGAATTGACCCTCGATCCTCTTTGCATATGTGCCCTTGGCCCTCTTAATACCAGCAACCAGCTCTTTTCTTGTCCTACTCAGCTCCTCTGAGTTTCCAGACCTGAAGGCAGTGTTCCTGGCTTCCAGCAGGGTACGCACCTCTGCATTCAGCCAAGGTTTTCTGTTTGGGTAGCTTTTAACATTTCTGATAGTGGAGACTGTGTCAGTACATGTACTAATGTAACCCAGTACTGAGGATGTGTATTGGTCAAGATCAAGCGAACCTCCATTTTCAGCAGCTTCTCTGAAAACCTGCCAGTCTGTTCGGTCAAAACAATGACGCCCGCTCTCAGACGAAGTAAATCCATCTTGTTGTCCAACGAGCGGACATTCGACAGAAAGAGAGACGGCATGGGGAGTTTACCGGCTTTAGCGTTAGCTCGTAGCCTCACCATAACCCCCGCCCGGCATCCTCTCCTCTTAAGCCGGGAGCAGCGCTTCCTCTTCTGCCCGCTGGAACGCCTCTGCTGCAGCTTCCAGGTAGATGACTTTAAGATCTGCATTCTGCCGAGCGTAGCTTTGAGTTTGTTGCTGATTTCTGCTATATTTCGTGGCAAATCCGCTCCTATTCTCATCAGTTCGGTTCGGCTATAGTTCACACGCATAAATCGTCAATATCAAAACTTCTAAAAACTGGGATGGTACCGGGAGCCTGTGAAGCTGCAACTGCTCTGAGCGCGGCCATCTTGCCATCAACTGAGTCATGAAACATGGCCCACTCGTACTCAATGAACTCACCTCTGCTGGAATGCGGCTCTTCCTTGAATCGCCATCTTATCGTGGTGGATGAGTTTATGCGCCTGAATGATCCTAGGAGGTATGCTGTGGTAGGGTCTCACAAGGCAGATTAGTCCTAGGTGACAGGCCAGACAAAGAGCGATTCCAAAGACTTTTGATGGACAAAACAGGGCAAGGAACTTTGTGTCCCTTTCCAGGACGTGGGTTATCAGGGCCCCACCTTGGAGCCAGGCCTGGGGGGGGGGGAGCTTGTCGGCGAGCACCTGGTGACCAGGTCTCTACCCATGGGGCCCGGTTGGGCTCAGCCCGAATGAGCAACATAGGTTTTCCTTCCTGTGGACCCACCACCTGCAAGAGGGGCCACAAAAGTCAGGTGTGTGATGCCAAGGGCAGTGGCCAAAGGCAGTGGCCAAAGGTAGGGGCCTTGGCGCTATGACCCTGGCTTACCAAAGCTGGCTCGTTCTCAATTCCAACCTAGAAAAACACTCATCTTGAAGAGATGAATGTTTAAATTTACTGTTTAAATCCCTCTGAGTTACACAGGTGTGTGGTTACCATGGTGATCCATTTGAGGCAATGGCAGCAGCTTTAACTTTTCTCTTGATCTTGATTCTCTGCACACTTCTGCAGTTAATCCATCAAAATGTCTTCATCTCAGATTATTACATAAATGAGTCCTAAACAACTGCTTGGCTTTATTAAAAGGACTTCGTGTATTTTGTATCATGTTGTTTTTAGTTTTGAGTTACTGTTTTATTTTAGACATTGACTCATGAGGTCACCTTTCAATTCACTTTAAAGCAACCATAACTTTGTGATTCTCCTGTCCTTCCTGTTCTGCAGCTCTGCCAAAGGTCATGATTAATGTGCGAACGTCGGTGCAGACGGTGATAATCGGGAACTCTGTGGAGTTTGAGTGCCAGGCTGTCGGTGACCCGGAGCCCATGGTAAAATGGAGTAAAGTCGGTAGCCTGCTGCCAGCGCACATCATGGTGAAAGGTGGCATGCTGAGAATCGAGCGGGTCACTGAGGCCGACGCTGGTCAGTACCGCTGTACGGCCACCAACAATGTGGGCTCGGTTCAGTCTCAGGTGCTCCTTAAAGTCCAATGTGAGTGCAAATTTATTTTTTCTCTTTTTTCAGACATTTATGCACTTTCAAATGTTTTGATTGAAATTTGTTGATGTTTTATGCACTTACTGTATTCTTTATTTGAATTATTGCCTGTTTTTTTCAGCTCTTCCTCAAATTGCTGCACTACCAGAAATGAAGGAGGTGACTGTTGGGTCCAACGCAGTCCTGCCCTGCGTGGCTTCAGGGTATCCAGCCCCTGATATCAAATGGTCAAAGGTAACCCACAAAAGCTTCCATTTGACTCCTTCTACCTCCTTCTACCCCTACATTTCACATTCACATCTCATTTGTATCTGTGAATTAGAGGCAGGGCTATCTGGGCCTAAAAATCAAGTTTTTTTTTCAGATATACACTTGAATTGGAGGGTTAAGCTGCACTCGATTTGATTTGCACAAATATTTCCTAAAAGCTAAGATAATGTCTAGTTTTGATGTTTTTTTTCTGTCTAAAACATTTAGTGTCATGGGCAGTCTTCCTCTGATGCAAGATAGAAACCAGACACATGGGAAACTCCTGTGTCTGGTTACAAGAAATAAAATCAGAAACAATTTATGGCGTACAGGCTTCTTGAAGGAATGTCCTGTTTTATCAGCAAACTGTTTCACTTGAAGATTTGACTTAAGGCCCAAGGGTGGTGGGATTAAAACTAGGAAATGAGATTTGGCTAAAATAAAAGTTTCTCCAAACAAATTCAGAAATATTGTGTTAAAGGACATTTTGTTCCCCGTTGCGGAGGGAAGAGCGGAAATTGGAAATACCCTCTGTTTGTCCATTCTTCCATGCACGTTGTGAGCGAGATAACTTGAAAAATCAGTGAGGCACTGACTTTCATCTGGGTGTGTGTCTACATCTAGGAGCATGAAAGGTTCCTTTCAAAAATTGGAGTGCCACATTAAAATCCAAGATGGGTACTGCCATAAATGTTTGTCCATTTTATGAGAATGATAACAAAAAATATCCTGATGCATGCTTAAAAATCCAGGTAGAAAAATCTAAAAAAGTTAAGTCTGGTCCTCTGGACGTTCAAAAAACAAAACAAACAAAAAAAAAAAGTAGAAACATTTTGTTCATTTTTGTAGTGGATCAGCAAACTGGTTGATCCACTATGAGAAGGAGCTATTTATACGACTGAGTTGAATCCAGCACCTCATACTGAATAAGTCCTTCAGATGAAGGACGAAACGTCTCGGCAAAAAAAGAAACCGTCCAGATGACCTGACTGAACATTGTTGGATTTGTAGCTGGATTATTGAGCATGAACTTTGGTGTTCACCTTCATTCTTGTGCAGTATAACAAAACCTTGTTCATTTTAGCTCAATATTTTTAAAACGAGTTATAGACAGTTCTGTGTTTGCAAAGGTCGTCCATTTTGACTTAAAAAAAAAGTCAATTTATTGTAAATGTGCATCCACTGATTACTTTCTGAGACTTTTAATAAAATCTGTCCACTGTTTCATGAGATATTTTGCTAACACACCAGGCAATTGAACACAAACAGAATAAAAACAATAAGCATTGTTGCCCACCTTTCAATGAGGGGCAACCATGTGTTGCAGGGGCAACCATGTGTTGCATCATTGCCTTTATGTTGATGTGCTGAAATGTGTTTTTGCCTTTTTATTTCTTTGAAGATGGAGGGAGAACTTCCTCCCAAGTGTGTCCAGGAGGCCAATGTGCTGACAGTTCCTCGGGTCACCCATGAGGACTCTGGCACCTACGTCTGCACAGCCTCCAACAAGCAGGGCAAAGTGGAAGCCTTCACCAGGCTCCAGGTCCACGGTGAGTGTGTGACGTGTTCAGCAGAGCTGTGAGTTACAGACACGTTTGGATCTCACTTCACGTGGGCTTTTTCAGAGAGAGTGATGCCGTACTTCGCCCAGGAGCCCCTGTCCTACCTCACACTGCCCACCATCAAAAACGCCTACAAAGCTTTCAACATAAAGATCAACTTCAGACCAGACAACGTTGATGGTAAGAGTCTGATAAATGTGCTTTTTTCCTACTTGTTTATTTTTTATGCTTTTGATATTTCATTGAATGTAATCTCTCTGGATCTTCTGTCCCTCCCCTCTCTCCCACACCTCACCCATGTGGTGGGAAGGTCTCATATTGTATGCTGGTGAGTCTCGGGAAGTGAAAGCTGATGTTGGCAGAGCTGTTTTCTGTCTGCATCAGACTTCCCCAATGCCCTCAGAGCTGATTTATGGGCTGTGAAAGAAATGTGCAAAACGATGCATGAGCAATGTTTTCAGTTGTGTTCACAAATCCACCAAAGACATCACGCCACCAGACAGGGCTGCATGGCTATAAATCAAGTCAAATTAAAGTCAAAATTACTTTGCAAGTACAACATATAGATTTTTTTTACAAGATGTGTAGATGTATTATGAGAAAATATCCAAATATTACAGGGGGAAAAAAATGTCTTATTGTTTCTTATAACTTGTCTTTGAATTTTTTGGACTTTTTTGTCAACTTTCTTGTTCAAGCAGCAAAAAATACAAATGCAGATCTGTTGGACAGCAGTTGAGTAGTTTTCATGCACATTTGCAGAACTGACCACATTTGTGACCCATCACATTGAAATGTGGGTTAAGTTACAATGTAGTGTAGTGAGATGTAGCCAGCATCACATACACAGCAAATATTGGAATATGTCAAAATATGATGAGTAAATAACTTATCTATGGGTCTCCTGAAATAAATGTGTGAAATATAATCCTGAAGACACAAAGTTTGTTTTCTCAGTCATCCAGGTATATAACAACAAAAAA